CTTACTGGAAGAGGGGAAGGCGGAGTCCGGCCGGGAGAAGATGGTGAGGGTGAGGGACATGGCGGTGTACCCCGAGCTGGCCAGGGTCTCGGTGGCGTCGATGATGGACTGAGGCATAGGCAACGGCTACGATGGCTAGAAGATGGTGGAGAGTATGGAGAGAGAAAATATGAGGAGAGAGAATGGTAGTTGCAGAGATGCCATAGGAAAAATGGGGAGCTCAATCTAAAACAATTTCATAGTGGACCTAATGGAATCTTGTTACATGGTAAACAAAAAGTCAAATTTGGTATTAAGTTTTCTTAAAGTTTTCTTTATCGTAAATAAAGAAGAAAAGTTCTAGGGACCCGTGCAGCAGGTAATTTTTTCTTTTTATAATCAAATTCATAAGCCCCCACATTGCTCAAGGTTTTTACACTTACGAATTCATAGGCCCATATATTTACTCCTCAGGCCCAAAAGTCTTCTTCTTCCTCTACATTTAGGTGTACTCATCTGCAAATCTTTCTTATTTCCTGTTAGATCTCACCAGTTCTTCATTTCCCACTCTCAATGCCCATAGAAGCTTTTAGCCTAATCTCATATTTCGATCGCCATTTGATCTGTTTATAATAACATAATAATTCGTAGGCCTCTGTGACATTGCGGGGTTCAAGAGGAGTAATGGAGGTATAAGCTTTGGGTTTGAAAATACCATGCTTAGCCCTGGTGACCATAGAATGCTGATTGAGTGGTGGAGCTTGTTGAGTGGCAGGACTATTTGTAGGAGAAGGAGCAGGTGTATGATACACACTGGTTGTATCAGACCTTGCCTCAGTGATTAAAGGTGGATGTGAGTGTGGTGAGTGAGTTGAAGGGGTGTGAGGTGTGTGAGAGTGAGAAGGTGTTTGTGAATCAGTATTATGAGAATGGACTAAATGTGTGTTAGAAAGAAGGGAGGGTGTCTCATGTTGTTGTTGTGGTGAGGGAAAAAGAATGTCAGGTGTAGTGCTGGGTGATTGTGGGTGAATTATATGAGTAGTGGGCATATGTTGCTCATTAGCTAAAGATACGGAGTTCATAGAAAAAGGAAAAACAGCCTCATTAAATATAACATTTCTAGAGACCAAAAATTTACCCCTCTTTAAAAGAACTTTGTAACCTTTGTAATGAGGGTTATAGCCTAAAAAGACAGCTGACTGAGATCTTAAATCCAATTTATCCTTGTTGTATGGTCTCATATGAGGAAAACATTACATCCAAAGGATCTAAGATGAGAATATGAGGGTAACATGCCTGTGAGTTTTTGAAAGGGTGTGAGGTGATTAATGGTCTTGTTGGGAATTCTGTTGATGAGGTAGATGCCAGTAGAGAAGGCCTCTTCCCAATATTTCTTAGGCATAGAAGATTGAGACAAGAGACTTAAGGCAACTTCAACAATTTGTCTGTGTTTTATTTCCACAAGACCATTTTGTTGAGGTGTATAGGGACAAGATATCTGTGGTGAATGCCAAGGGAGGAAAATTGAGTGGTGAGTGGTTTGAATTCAGTTCCACCATCACTCTGTACCATCTTGATCTTGTTACTGAATTGTCTTTCAACTAGAGTTCTGAAGTGGTTGAAGGCATTTAAAGTGTCAGACTTTTGTTTAAGAATATATATTCAAGAATATTTAGAGTAATCAACCACAAAGGCAACATAATATAAAGAGAATGAAGTAGATTTTAAGGGTGTTGGTCCCCAAAGGTCTGTGTGAATGAGTTCAAGGGGGTGCTTAGACATAAATGTTGAATCAGAAAATGGCAATGCATGAGATTTTGCCTTAACATAGTCATTACAAAAAGATAAATCATTGTTCTGAAAGGGACATTACAAGCTGCAAGAGCCTTCTTGGTAATATCTAGTGAAGGGTGTCCAAACCTTCTATGCCATAGTAACAAAGGTTTGGCAGTACTAGCAACATAAGCTAAAGGTGATTTAAAGTTTGGGTTTTTATGTGGTTGGGTCTGAAACATAGGCTTTCTGTGGTGAGCAACATCAAGGTTGAATGTGTATAGCCCTTCTTTAAGTTTCCCTATGAGAAGAGCCTGGCCTGTAGCTCGATCCTTCACAACACAAAATGTACGATAAAATTCAAAAAATACTCCATTATCCTTAGCAAATTGAGCAACATTTATGAGGATTTTGGCTATTTTAGGAACATGCAATAGATTGTTATGTTTGAATGTGTGTTTTCTGTGAAAGTAGTGTGGAGGAGAGACATGGCCCTTACCAACATGTGAGATATCAAGACCTGATCCATTTCCTATTTGAAGCTTGTTGTTGCCACTGTAATCTGATGCTATGCTCAAGTTGGAAAAATCAGTGGTCACATGATGAGAAGCTCCTGAATCAGGAAACCATTCATTTTCTATGATAGGTTCCTTGCTGGCAACAATTTCTGAGGTATTGTTGTTGTTCTTGTTATCTGAAAATCCCTTTTGCCCTTGTGGATTTGCAACAAAATCAGGGTTAAACCTATTGTATCACCTGTCTGCTGTGTGATTAGTGTACCCATATATCTGGCACTCAGTTGAAGTTGGATCTACCTCTGTCTCTATTGCTTCTCCCTCCCTTACCTCTGTAGTTGGTGTTTTGACCTTTCCCCTTGCTGTGAAGGAGTTTTGAAAACCTCTGGTTGGCTGGGATTGTGTTGCAAGATGAGCTGAGGGGAGGTTCATGTCATTAGTGGTTGCTAAAGCCTCTAGTCTGCTCTCATGTGTCATAAGAAGTGAGGTGACATCCAATAAAGTGAAAATATCAGGTCTTGCATTTATGCTTGCCACAACAACATCATAATCTGGGCCAAGACCACTTAAGACATGCATAACTTGGTCAATTTCAGGTATCAAGTGACCTCCTGCTGCCAAAGTATCACAACAACCTTTAACCTTGTTAACATAATCTCTGATATTCATGCTACCCTTCTTGAGGTTTTGCAGTTGAATCCTATATTGCATGGTTTTGGCCTTAGATCCTGTGAAGAAGGTTGATTCAAGGTTGTTCCAGATCTGACTCGAGGTGTTTAGACCAACCACTGAGTTGAGAATAGGTTCTGACAGAGAGGATAGTAACCAAGAGGCAAGAAGTTGATCTAGCCTTTGCCAAGAGGTGAAGTCTGGATTTGTTTGGTGAAGCCCTTGTTCTTGAGCTGGAATGAATCTGGTGGGAGGCAGAGTGGTTCCATCTAGAAATCCCTCCAAGCCAAAGCCTCTTGCTGTGGTAAGCACTTGTTGTTTCCAAATCAGATAGTTTTCATCATTTAGCTTGAAGGATATGAGCTGGTTTTGGAGTTGTATTGGTGGATTTTGATTTGCAGCCTCTGCCATGGTAATGGAATGAAAGAAAAAAAAAAGGAGAGAAGAGATCAAGATGATACAGAGCGGGCTAAACCCACTCTGATACCATGATGGATTTGAGATCGAAAAGGAGCAAAATCGAGATGAAACCAAGAACACCAAATTCCATGTTCAACCACTGTTTCATTAATGTCTCGAAAACTGAGATCTACATGTTACAAGGAGCTGTATATATATGGTCTTAAGTTGCCCTAGATGGCTGGTGAATGGATAAGGTAAATGAGTGGCTCTAAGCTCACAAGAAGACAAGGAACTTAAAAACAAAAGGCCTAAGGAAACTGATTAAAGCAGGCAGCATGGCCACATGCACGATTAAATAATTGAAATAAGAAAAATAAATATATTAAACCGTGTTATATTCTAACACTTCCTCTCATGAATAGATGTTGAAGATCAGATTTTTAAGCAACAGCTCGGTGGTCGGCTTGACTATGAAGTCGGTCTCTTCGGCAAATCGGGGATCATGTGACGGGGTCGGTCAGGGCTCGGGTCACAATTTAGGGGTTGGCGACGGTGATGTCGGCTCATCTGCCATGTGATGGTCCGATGACATATGAAGTCGGAGATGGCAAGGTCAGCCCTGGTATGGCAGATGGTGAGGTTGGAGATGTCGGGGTTCCGGCAGGGCGAGGTCGACCTCGGCGATTGTGAAGTCGGAGACCCAAATTTGAAGGGTTCGACCCCGACGAATGAGGTAGAAGGGGTTGGGAGATCGACCCGACCTCAGAGTCGGGCTCCGTGTTGCCGACCTCGACCCGACTTAGAGGTGAAGTCGGTCGGGCTGTGGTCACATAACTCGGCAGTTAATGAGTCGAGAAGTTAGTCGAAATGGAGAAAATGAGGTCAGATCTGCTCAATGTCTGACGTCTGAGATCGAAGACGTCAAAATTATTCCGGAGATGACGAAGTTGGCCACGGTGATTGCGATGGTGAGGTTGACCGACTTCAAGGTCGTCCGGCCATAAGGGTTTCGGCGATGGTGGCGTCGGTGATGCTCGACGAGGGGGTTGGGCCCCGATCTGGTTCAGAGATTGGCCTGTCAATGTTGTTTTGGAGGTCGGGCTTGGTTTGAAGATTCGAGCTCGGGGATGGTGAGGTCATCCGGTTGTGAAATCGGGCCTCCGCTGGAATTTGGCAGCTCGACAAAGATGAAGTCGTGCCTGGTGACTTATGAAGTCGGAGGTGCCGAGGTCGAATTACAGAGATCGGTCCGTCGACGATGTTTTGGAGTCGGGCTCGGGTTGGAGATTCGAGCCCGGGGATGGTGAGGTCGACTGCTTCGGAGGTGAAGGTGTCTTCCAACGTCTGAGATCGGCTCCAGACGGTATGAAGTAAGGTCGCCGGTTTAAAGGTCGGGTCTCAGTGATGGAGAAGCTCGGCGATGGTTGTCGTAATTTCGAGCTCGATCTGCCGTCCGCACGGGGAGATGAGTTCAACAGGGTGGAATCCGTGGCAGTCCAAGCGGAAATGACGGATTGGGCGAAAAATCTGGTGAATATGTGAAGGTGGGGGAATCGGCGACGGATCTGGCGGTGGTGCACTCAGATGGGGCGGATCGTCTTGCGAGACTAATTCGCTTGCTATGTGGTGTGGTTTAGATATCTAGTTTCTGATTCGCTTGCCATTTTTTGAGTTTCCACATATTGATGAACTCATTTTTTGTTTTCTTTTAAATATTCAGAATGTCAATGTATGTATTAACATAGACTTAAAAGCGCATCATATCCCCGAACTCGCACAACTGAACTTGCAGATCTATTCTTTTATTTATTTTTTTTTTTACATGATAAGAAGGATGGGTAAAAATAATACAGAGAGTTAGAACAAACCGTAGTATTGTTTGTCTCATTTTTGTTGCGTTTTTTGTTGTTATTTTGTCCCTCATATTGAGTCATTTAGATGGTTTTAGGATCATTTTGTCATTTATTATGTGTTTTGCGTTCATTTGAGTGTTGCGATGTTTTCCGTTTGTTTTCCGGTCTTTTTCTGTTCTCTTTTCGTTTTTGGTGTGTAGTTTGAAGACCTTGGGAGAACAGGTTTTCGAGAATCTTGTGGGGAAGCTGACACCATTAGATAGAGGGGTTCGTTAGCGACACGTGGGAAAAAACGGAACTCAATTCTGAGTTAAAACGAACCCGAACGAGCAAAAATCGTAAGATGGTGCAATGCAGATTTTGGTCTCCGCGGCCGCGACCCTTTCTTCGCCGCGGCCGCGGCGAAGAAAAGCTGCCAAGTCCCAAATTTCTGCAATGAAAATCCCGCGGCCGCGGAGGAGGAAGTCGCGGCCGCGGAGGTCGCGACAGCAGGATTTTTTATTCGCGATTTTGATCAGTTTTGGGGGACGTTCCACTTAGGTTTTGAGTTGGCTCTCGTACTTTTTCACCCCAGAACTCAGTTTTCTCTTATCTTTCACTTGGAATTGATCTTGGATTGTGAAAACACCAAGATTTGACTCGTGGATTTGGATTGTTCGTTGTTCTTTCGACATTGGATTCATATTTAATTGTAAGCTTTCTATTTCATTTTATCTGTGATGATGATGGCTTTGATTGATATTGATGTTGATGTTGAATTGATGATGAGTGGCTAAATTCATATGCTAGGGATAGGGGATTGATGTTTTGAAATCGTTTGTGATTGTGGGCATTCGTTGATTGTTCTTTCCATGCGAGTTAATCTTTTATTATGGTTCTTCAATTATCAGACTTGAGTATTGATAATTGTTGAAGGGTGACACTTCAACTTACAATTGTTTCAATTGAATTTGATTTATTCGTGCTTGAAATTGGAAATCTAATTGATTAGTCGGTTAATCACCCTCTAGTCTACTTTAATCGACTCTCAGAACTGAAAGGGGAGGAGTCGGTCGAAATAGGCTCGTATGAACTAGGCTTGTTCGTAACTGTATTGCCTAGGAGTTAAATGAATTGTTAATTTGCCGTTCTAGTTTGTTCTCTTGTTACGAAAAGTTATTGAGAATGAGTACTCGAACGTGTCGATTATTCAAATCACTTAGCTGAACAATCACCTGCCCATTAATTGCAATTCGAACCAAAACGGATCTCCCCGATTCCCTAGTTTCTTTATTATTATTTAGTTGGTATTTTAAGATTTATGCTTTTATGCTATTTCTTAGTTGATAGTTAATTCCTCCCCAATCTGATTAGAGTGTTTAGGATTTATTTTTCTTTTTTGTGTTATCAATACCAATTCTAAATTCCGAACCGCCTTCCTCGAGAGATCGACCCGGGAAACGAATCCTTGATTCGGTACTCGGTAAAAATAACAATTTGTACACAACAAATTTGGCGCCGTTGCCGGGGAAGGCAAGTAGGATATTTAGTTTTGGTATTGATTTAATTTTCCGTGTTTCTCTTTGTTTTTTGTTTTTGGGATTTTTGTTTTCTCTTTTGTGCATATTTGTTTTTCTTTTTGTCTTCTTTGTTTTTGTCTTCTTTTTCCTTCTTTTTCGTGGCTACGTGTGGTTGTTCTATTTTGATGTGCAGGAGATATGAACTTCAACCGTACTTTTCCCTATCCGCACACCCAACCTTGGGGTTACGAGCCGAGCTATCACACCGGGTACCACAACCAATCATATTCATATTCTTCCGAGCAGTACTGGGATCCCCACACAGTCGAGCAAGCTTATGAGTCCCACAAGTTCAACGAGAAGCTCGACCGTATCTATGAATTCGCGTCATCCCGGTTAGCTCAGGATGAAGAGACCGCAACCCGGTGTAGGCATGCGCATCAGTCACCTCCATACCATGATTCTTGGGACTATGGCCAGACTTGGTCATATCCTTACGAGCAGCAATGGGAGTCTTTACCTGTTGAGCAGTCATGTGAGTCCCTCGAGGACTCATCAGAGTACAATGCCAAGCTCGACCAGGCCCTCGCTCTTTTAGCCTCCCAAGCGGCCCGTAGGAGCAATATTGTGTCCAAAATCGAGAACCTTGTGGAGCGCGTGCAAGCATTAGAGGATCGAGTTAACAATGTCACTCCCGAGCCCACCGCTCAAGGCGAATCTATACATAGAGATGAACCTCGGGAGGCTGCTTTGACATACGATGAAAAGCTCGACCTCATCCTTGCTCACATATCTGCCCAGGCCACTCGAGATGTGGAGATTGAGCTCAGATGTGCTGGACTGGGCACACAAACGGAGATTCTTACAGCACACATCGACTCAATAGAGGCACAAGTCGCCGACCCCCACTTCATGCTTGATACTCAAGCCCGTACGATGAAACAAATGTGTGAGGCCGAAGAAGAAGATGATGAGCTCCAGCCAGACGTTGATGATATTTCAGAAGAGGAGATCCATTGGCTTGATTCTCAAGTCCCACCTCCCACCTTCGAGTTGGAGCATCCTTCTTCGAGGCCGTTGCACTGTGTTACGAAGTGGGGAGAATTCAGTTTGACTTGCTCCACAGATATCCTTATAGTCCTGGAGGTTGACGGCAGAGCTCGCGTGGGAAAAGCTCTGCGTTTAGAATTGGGGATTGCTCGTGCCCGGGACCACTTCATACAGAACATAGCCACCCGGATCCACCATGCCCGCCTTCTTGCCACCCTTCCCATGCTGCCACTTCTGGAAAATACGAAGGCTTGGCATGATCGCCATTTCTTCTTGGACCCTGGCTGAGTTCCTCGCAGGTTTCGTCAAGCTAATGACGTTAAACAAGCGCTTCTTGGGAGGCAACCCAAGTGATTTATTGCTTTCCTAGATATTTTCTTTATGCTTTTTAGATTTATTCTTTGAATAATGGGAGTTTGGAGTTTCTGTGTTTTTCTTGGCAGGAATAAGTTAGCGAGCTTGAGCAGGACGAACATCGAGGTCCAGGGTGGAGCGTGGACGAGTAGCTCGTATGTGGATGCTTATCTCCTCGAGGCATTTTCGGTTTGCACACCCTTTTTTTTTCCTTTTCTTTTTATCTTTTTTGAGTTGTTCTTTCCTCTGTCTTTGCTTTTGAGTCTTGCGTTGCTGTCGTAGTTGCTAAGTTTGGTTCATCATGTGAGAGTGCTAGGTCCTTTATTTAACTTCCTGTTTCGTGTTGAAGCAATGAGGACATTGCCTCATTTTAAGTGTGGGGGAGTTATTCGGATTTTTGCATGCTTATATGGTGGGCCGGGCTAGTTTAGGTTTTTGTGTTGTTGAGCATGGTATTGGTGGATTATATGATTTGTTGATGGATGTTTGATGAAATTGGGAAGTTGTGATGACGATTGTGTTGATCATTGTCTCGATATTGCTTGATTGCTTTGAGTGACATTTATTTACCTTGTGAGGTTTTGATCCTTACTCTTTCTTTCTTGTGAGATATTGGTCATATTCTTGAATGATTAGAACTTGCCTTGAGTTTGTTTGAAAGGAATCTATTAGAGTTTGAAATTGCGAATGTGATTGAGGCGTTTTGTTTGAATAGCTCACTTCTGCCTTGTTCTTTGGCCCTATTTATTATTCCACTAGTAGCCCGTTTGAGCTTAAAACCTTTTCTTGTCAACCTGTTGACTGATTTGTGTGATGATTGGGTGATTGGTGGCATTTCTGAATATGGTGGACATTGAGTTGCATTTTGTTTGCTTGACCATTCAAAAGAAAAAAAAACAACATTGAGAGTTCACAAGACGAATCAATGGATTCTGCTCCTCTTACTAGTCGATTCATTTTGACAGGTAATGAGCATTAGGAAACTACTGTAGGAAACTTGGATGACCTCCAATGTTCACACCTACAGAATGTTGTCCTTTTGATTCAATCTTGTTGGGAAAAAGTTACTCTCCAAATAAAATAAAAAAAAAAAGAGAAAAAGAAAAAAATAAGGTTAAGTGATGATGTTGCAACTTGCTCTGAGCATCTATGTGTTGTTTGAGGAATGTTGGTTGGGTAGTAAGTGTGTTGTCATGATTATTCTGGTTGAGTAGCGGAGAACACGAGTAATCTATTTGCTCGAGAATTGTGATTGTGTATTTGAGCTTTTTTTCCTTTATATATCCTTACCTTGAACCAAATAGCCTACATTACAACCCGTGAAGTCCTCTTGATCCGCAAGTTTTGAGCTTTGATTGTTTCTGAGTAATTTAAACGATTGGCAAGCATATGTTGAAACTTGAATATTGACCAATCTGAGAGAACCTATCATATATTCATGTAAAAGAATGAGTGAGGCATACACTAATATTTCTGTATTTGAGAGTTTGTCATTTTGAGGCCAAGTTGATATTTGAGGCATATGGTCATACAATCGTTGGAATTCAACCCGGTTGAGTTAAATATTTCTGAGGCTCTTCTTGTATGAAATCGATATCCATGTTCGTGTCTTGTTTTCTTTTCTTTTGTTTTTGTTCGGGACGAACAAAGGTTTAAGTGTGGGGGAGTTGTTTGTCTCATTTTTGTTGCATTTTTCGTTGTTATTTTGTCCCTCATATTGAGTCATTTAGATGGTTTTAGGATCATTTTGTCATTTATTATGTGTTTTGCGTTCATTTGAGTGTTGCGATGTTTTCCGTTTGTTTTCCGGTCTTTTTCTGTTCTCTTTTCGTTTTTGGTGTGTAGTTTGAAGACCTTGGGAGAACAGGTTTTCGAGAATCT